TCCCATTCTAGTTATTCCTAAAAAACCTCTATAGTCTTGTTTTTATTTATTACAAAAAGGGTAATAAGTGAAGGAAGGGTTCTATTTACACTTCTGACTATTCCAATGAAGCACATGAAGGGGAAATAGAGCAAGTAGTGTCTATATTAACAAATAAATTAAATTTAAGCTATAATCAGATGAATAGGATTTCTGGCTGGGTAGTCCTGGAAGGCGCTGTATAAATAGTGTTCCATAGGCGGTCATTCCTAGTGATCATCAGAAATTCTTCTGTTCCCAGCAGCTGTGGATGGTTATTTAGGACCAAGGATTAACTCAATTACAGAGGTATGCCAAGTTCTAAAAGACCAGGATCCAAATATGTATTTTTAATTTTTGTATTTGATGGTATCATAAGAACTACTAAGCCAGGTTGAAGAGATGAATCAGCAATTGTGTTCCTGTGGGGTGACTGGACACAATACAGCATATGGCTGGGGAAGAAGCAAGGTGGAAAATGGCGGAGGTGGAAGTTGTGGACATTTTCTCATTCCAGCTCTGGAGTCATCTTGCAGCTGAAAAAAGTGTAAAGGACTTCTGAGGTTTATCCAAGCCACTTGAAATTTCATTATGGCATTAGGTACAAAGCCATGTTATATTTGATTTTGAATCTTTAAACAGTTTACAAATATGTATTTATTCATCCCAGAAAAAAAAAAAAAAGTGGCGGTAGTTAATTATTAGCTGTGTCTTCTAAATGTAAAAGGAATTTGTAGGCTACCCAAAGCATTGATATTAAGGCAAGATCTGTGTTTCAAGAGTTCCTGTCAAAAACCACACCCCTCTCCATAACTGACAAAGTTGGCAACCTCATTATTAGGAGCAACCTTGGGAAAACATCTGACTTATGAGTTGCCTAAATGTTCACATTTTTATCTCTGGACAGCTGCTGGTTCAAGGCAGCCATGAAAGATTCAAATTTAATTAAGGCCTTTCATAATTCTAAAGAACATCTTGCTCATAGTGAATCCGTCTGTTAAATATTATGTTCTTTCTGGACACAGTAAGCTATACTTTTACATACAGAAAGTAGGCTAAGAAATTTGCAAGGGATATTGGCTCTAAGCACAATAGTTTTGCCAGAAATTTTTCATTTTATTTGAAATGCAAATCTCAGATTGGGATTTATAGGGTAAAACTAGCTGAGCAAAATAAATTTAGGCATTCGGACCAGTTTCTCTGTCTGTACTTCCTGGAAGATCTTATTACTTAGGTAATTATAACAAACAGGGTTGCAATATCTTTGTATGTGGGCTGGGCTCTAAATTAGTACGAGCGTGTGGCTTAGAAGGGATGATAATTTAGACTTACGTCTGTTTAACAGTAAAACTTTGGCTATTAATAGCAAGCAATTTTTACTGCTCAGGCAAAAAAGTGAATTCTTCTTAGGGACCTGAAAAGGTGAGTAGATTGGTTCTTGTATTTTGCTGGTATATAAATTAATCTAATAAATCCTGGAGGTTAGAATTTGCTAATATTAAAGCTTGTACTGTAATGTTAGAGAGATTTTTTTCAGCTTTGGTAAGGACTGAACAAAAACTTATTTTTCAAAATATACGTATATTTTTGTATAGGTAGATAAGACACGGCATTCTGCATCTGTTGATGTTGTTCGGGAATGAAAACTGTGAAAAGAACTGCAATTAAAATACCAGCAAATAGATGGATCCCATTCATGCACTCAGCATGCCTTGGGATTGATACAGGTGTCTTGTTATTAAATAATAATGAAAAAAGAATCCGCATTTGCAGATATTTCTACAGAACTAGATCAGAAATGGTAACTGAAAGCATATGAGATCTAACAAGTTATTTTCATAATATTGCTCAGAACAGACAAACTGTAAGAAGGGAGTGTCTGGGAAAGTAAGACTTGCCTGAAGCAGAAGCAACAGGTCTGTCTAGAAAAAGATGTCAAGCAAGTAATACTACATTATCGCTCTGGAGCAAAGAACATTGCTTTCATTAATAAATAGTTGTTTGATCAGCAGGTTTTACTCTCACTTAATGCAGTTAAGCAGCAAATACACTGTGGATACAGGTAACAAAACTGGCAGAGTGTGGAGGCTGGGAGGAGATAGAAGACTTAGTTCTGGTGGTATTTTTCAGCAAAACTTTCTGGTTTGTGCCAAAGTCTTGATTCAAGGATTTTCTATAAAGTTCAAGTTTGTAATGTAATGTATCAGCATTTTCTGTATCTTTTTCACTACAGATAGTCAAATACTATATTTGATGTTTAGAAAAAATGGTAGTCCTACATTTCTTGTCAATAACAACTGTGTGTTGCTCCAACTGCTTTAAGGATGTGGAGCAGTAGTTCACAGCACAAATAAGAGCATGCAGTGCAATCTAGCAATAGAAACTATGCTGGTTTTAGTACTTTTCACTCTTTTTCTCCTTTCTAATTTTGAGGCAGTTTACTGACCTCGTTTACCAACATAGCTGGTGGCCATAGATTTCTGGGGGAGTGGCTGGTGGCCACATCCACCAAAGGAGCAAGGTAGCCTACATGCCTCTTTGGCAGCTGCTTACTGTGGGTGGATTTCCTTTCACTGAGGTGTTTTTTACTGATGTTATGGTTGCTTTGAACTTGGGGAAATATTGCAAGGAAGGAGGCTCATTGCAGTTGAGAATAAGGTATCTCTAAAGTATTTAGTGAATCTACTAAGCTATTGGTGGGTAAAGGTGGCAACAGAAGATGGAAATCTACCAAAAACAACACATTGAAGCAACAGAATCAGAGGGAGTATCTTAAAGTTCATGTGTGTAAGCATTCTGAAATTGTAAGTTTATATCAGCTGTCTTAATGACTTTCCAGATTATTCTGAGCATAGTTTGTGTTATTTTCAATACCATTAAAGGAAATACTTGGATCAGATACATTTTGGTGAAATTCAGTTACATTTAGCATTGTTCAAACTTAAATTATTATTTTGACAAACAATTGAGAGACCAAAACCAACCCTTCCTTTACATTCATTTATCTTTGTCTTGGGTGACACTAAAGATTTTTCTTCCATTTTCTGATAAGGCATTCTCATATTGCTTTTCAGATTAATTTGATCTGTAGTTAAATAATGGTTTAGCAGTTATGACAAACTATAAATGGCAGAGCTCAAATTAGAACAGACTAGTTTCTGACCCTTTTTCCTGCATCTGTCCCTCTAGATAGTGGTGTTGTATACATTGACTGGAATGGACATTGGACACACTTTACTGGTAATACAGAGGTTATTAATAAATTAGCTTTCTTTGCGTATATTTCACCAGCACCATGGAGAAAAGCCCGTGTCTTGAGATTCTTAGTTTGTAAGAGAAGCAAATAATTTTGACTTGTTAGTAAATTTTTTTCCGTAGCAGTGAGCTTATTACCGAGATTCAGCATTTCTTATGATACAGTAATTTGGACTCAGCCTTAAGTGTACTTTTAGGGATTTATTATTTATTTTCTGACGGACCCTCTGAAACAAAAAAATGGGTAAGCTTTTATTTTAAAGTTGACTTTACCCTCTGGCTGCTGATTCTACATTCTAGTCTTTAGGTAGGCTCCAACTGAGAGAGTAAATGTGGTGGTTTAGCTGCCAGTCATGTCATTGGTCATGGTGGCCAGTGTCTGAACTGTCACTAGATGAACACTACAAAAATATTTTCATCTATGTGAATAGCCATTACAGATTATTGTACTATTTATTTAAATTCAAAGTAGTTGAATTCTTAGCATAGGTAATCACATGATAAATAGAGATCAGTGACATTTCAGTGGCATTGGAATAATCAGCCCCACAAATATATGACCACTGCCTATACGTATACGTACAACCTGCATCATTTGAAGGATATCTATAGACATTGTCAGACAGGTGTCGTTTGTGGTGCTTAGAAAGCTGTCAAAATTGAGCAGTTCTGAATCATAACTTTAAAAACTTCCCGTATCAGGAGACTGAATGTCAAAAGAATGAATTGCACCCTTCATGGAAGAGAAGTCTCATTCTATGACCCTTTAAAGGCTTTGTCAGTATTTTGAGTTGTATGTTAGAACACTGCAAAAATTATGCACATGTACAATCCCTGTTCATTGCTGTGTGGGCACTGGTTTCATACTTCAGCGATGAAGTGATGTGCAAAAGGGCCTTATTTCAGAAAGAATTTTCTCACTGGCAGTGAAATGGACAGCGTAAATTCTTTTGCTCTTTGAAATGTCGTCTGTTGGCAATAGTGACTGCTACTTGACTAAGAGTCCAGCAAAACCAACTCAAAAGTAGAGACTATGTGGAAAATTTTGTCCTTAATGTCAGATGGTAACATGAATGCCTTTAATCTTTTTTTTAAAGAGGCAGCAGTAACTTTCATACTTGGAAGCATGAAACAGAAATGTCATACTTGGGGCATGTTGGTTATTGGAACAGAAAGAACCGTATTTTCAGTGTTAGAAAAAAAGTGGTAGAAAGACTGAATGGGGGAAGGAGGAGTAAAGATTATTTCAGAGTTGCTGGACTTGGGGTGCATAACATAGAGGTCAGGTGGGAAAGCCGTATGAGATACAGTTACTGTTGGGGTTGAGCCAGTAAGAGGTTTGTATCTGTTCCTTCTTTACTCTTATGGCAGCAATCAAAAAGCAGAGGTCCTACAGAGATCTACTTCTAGGTTAAGCATGTTTTTCACCATGTGTTCATTCCTGCATCGAAACCTAGTCAATCCTCTTTTTTCCCCACAGTGCAAAAGGTTGAAATGCACTGAACTTTGAATCTAGGAAATCTTTGGTAAGGATGAGGGGCAGAGGGATCTCAGGCTTCCAGTGTTTGAGATTGTTTGGTTTTGTTTGCTAGTGTGTACTTTTGCTTGTGTGGCTTAATTTATAATGTAACAGTGATATATATTTTCTGTCAGGTCTGGTCTAGTGTAATACAGATGATCTCACCTGTCTTTTCAGTAGAAACAGTAAAGGTCTGAAGAAATCGCAGATGATGGCTTCTGACGCTAGTCATATGCTGGAAGCAGCTTTGGAGCAGATGGACGACATCATTGCAGGTATAATAATGCTTTATTTTACACCAAACTATTTTGAGATTGAACTATGTTTGTCTTTTTTTCCTCCTGCAATTTTCTTGTGTTTTTATTTTTTAATTATTATTCTCAATTTGTCAAGTTCTCTGTAATACACAGATTTCTCTGATTCAACAGTTATGTGAAGAAAATTTAAAGTAAAATAAAGGAAGAAAACCCACAATTCCACCTCAAACATGAATATTGAAGTAAGAGAGATTTACTTTGCTCTAATGTTATATAGTAACTTAAACACATTCTAATTCATGGGGTAACATTCCATATTGTAGGTGTTAGTTTTTTATTTCAGTAAGTCTTTGAAAAAGGTTTGACCAAGGCTTCCAGTTAGCTGGATAGTATCTATCTTTATTTTACACACACATATACAGAAAAATATATATTTAAAAAAATACATAATTGTCTTTATTTATGATGTATATATTTAAAATAGATCAGCTATTAATAACCTTCCCAGCCTAATGAGTTAGAAAGCATATCTTTTTTTTTGACATTTATATCCACGAGTTTGAGCTATGAAATTCTTTTTACACAGCTGTCCACAAGAAAGGGGTACGATACAAGACAGAATGTGTTGTCTTTTGGTGCTCTCACAGTAAAGCAATTAAAAGTTTTCTCTCAATATTACAGCATCCAAGAAGAGAAGTTGATTTCTATGGTTAGGACTCAGTAGCCTTGGGGTTTGTGCTCATACACCATTCAGTATGAGCTCCTAAAAGAAGTATCTGGGTAGGGCCATGATCTCACTTGTGCACAATGGCAAAGCATTCACTAAAGCTTTATAAATTTACATAGTGACACCCATGCTGTGCCTTCATTTTTTTTCCCCCTTGTGATGAAGAAGATGACATCAGCTTCTTGTTGCTGCAGTTGTGCTTCTTTCTGCTCTTTTATAGTAAAACTTTCCATCCAGAGACTAATATGGAACTTCTAACGTTACTGTGAGACTAGCCGTGATTAGGCAGGAAGTCACTATTCAGGATTTTTAGTTTAGAGAATACCTAGATTTTTTTTTATTCTCATCCACATATGAGTCTTCACTTTAGTCTAAATGTGCAAGTTTTAACAGAGTGCTAAGATATGCAGAAGTGTAAATGTGAATATGTGATGGATATAATTCCACAAATAACTTTTCACACCAATGGAACAAGTTCCAGGCAAATTTAGAAATGTACTTCCTTCTTCTTTCTCTTTCTGAATGCAAAACCTTATTCAAACAAGATTTTAACCAACAGGAGTTAATTGGGGTTTTATTTTTTCACCTCTTGTCTTATAAAAAATGTAAACAGATAGTCAGGGAAGCATTGCACTTCCCTCAGATACATAAAGAAAGAACAAGAAAAGCAATTCCCAAACCATAATTCGTAAACTAGGGAACTGAAGTAATTTCTTAGCCATTGCAAACCTTGTGTTATGATCCTGGCTAGTGATATAAAAGAGCCAAAGTGACACAGAAGCCCATGTCCCTTTAATTATGCTATAGAACCTGTTCTCATAAATGACCTGCATACATCTGAAAATTTTAACTCAGTATCTCTCTTCTGTGATCATTTATGCATAGCCTAGTGCACATTGGTGACATCATGGATGCACTGATGATTCCATTCTTCAGAAAAATCAAGAGAAAGAAAAATAGACATATTCTATTTAAATTGATTTTCAGATTGGACATTTATTTTCTTCCAGGAGTTGTCAGAGCTTTGTGGTATGTTTTCTTTTGAAGGAAAGGGTTAAAAAACTTGTCATGATTTTGAGGGTTTTTAGGTTTATTGTTCCATAGGATTTCATCTGCTTCAAACTTTTCTGTTAATAGACCGTGCTTCCAACATATCTCAAATTGTCCAGTAACTCCTCTTATGAGCAATAAAAGACCATGTGTTCAACAAACAGGTCTATCACCTTGCTTATCTGAGCAGAGCTACATTTTGTTTAGAAAAAAAAAATCAGTTTTACTTGGAGATGCTATTTCATATTCCCTTCAAAAAAGTTTTGCAGACGTACAGGCTGTATGGTTTTTCCACTGAGAGGATAACATTGCTGCTCAATAGCATTTCCATGAATGGAAGCTCTGAAAAATGGTTGTTGTGATGCTTGTTCTGGGTAAGAAAATAGTTGTTTAGTGTTGGGTATTTTTTCTATGGTATGAAAAGATAGCCTTGTAATATGTGGCATAAGTGATTAAATGGCAATATATGACTGCTTAAGAAAATCATTAATTTCTTCTAGTTTCATGCTAGAAAAATAACTGAGGTCAGAAGCCAGGTTTGATTTTTTTTTTTTTTGGGGGGGGGTTTATTGTTGTTGGTTTTAATATTCTCCTTTCCCTCACTCCTTTTTTGGATTGCTTGTGCCGATAACTTTTTAGGGGTTAAGCCTGATAAATAAGAATTAGAATTAAATTGTTCCAGGCTTCCAAACAACATTGCTTTTTACCCTCATCTCTTAGTTGCCATGATGTGGAGACAGTGACATAGCAAGGCAAACAATGTAAGAAATATTCAGTGTGAATCAGCAAATTGCATGTTCCATTCACAGCTGTTTTGTAGTGATATTGGTGCCCAGGCTCTAAAACAGATTCAGGCACGCTAGTGGTATGCAGAGTTTGTTTCCACAGTGCATGGATAGGTCTTGAGCGAATTGACAACCTCTTCAAGAGGGTGCACTTCATGACTTCACATTACTTAACATTTTTAATCTAATGTCCACTGATATTCAGTATAATATGGAAAACAAGCTTATGAAAAGATATCTAATGGGGAAGAGAACCATAATATTTCCCAGACAAACCGTGTGTTAAGTCTCATCAGTGTTAACTGAATACTTCCTGTATGATCTCAGAATTGTATTTACCTGCACGAATAAAAAAAACCCCAAACATATTGCTTTATTCCTTTACTTATTTTTAGTTATAACAAAGTAAAAGCTCAATTGGATGGGAAGGTTGTTTACCTTATTTGTTTGTTTATTTATTATTTTCCAGTACTAGAAATAGATAAGACATTTTAAAACAGGTTGACTCAAGTCTATTCTGGTAATTCGCCTCTATCTAATGTTCTGTGTGTTCTAGAACTGTTTCTTGAATTCTGGTGTGTTTGAAGGACCAAGTATATCTGCTGGAGCCTATACTTGAATACAGTTATTATCCCAGTTTGTCTCAAATTGAGGAACATAGTAATTATTCAAGTTTGATTCTCTCTAATTCAATCCACTAAGCTTCTGTATGCAATTTGGGCAGGGACTGGAAAACAGGAATGTTCTTTTGTCCTGTGTGGCAAGACAACCAAATAAGGTTGGAAACTCCTTCAGAAGGAGGACTGTCATGAAACAAACCAGGACTGAGAGTCTTCTAACTGCAGATTTATATATACCATATTATGCAAATATTGGACAAATCATCTGTGCAAATGTAGCTGCTCTTACAGTAGGCTGGAAACAGCAAAAAATCAACTGTTCAGAGCTTGTGATATTTCGGCTCACTGTATCCAGATTCCATACATATCTCTTGGCAGCACTAGATTTAAAGACTGAAGCTAAACTTGATGACTGTTGAAAACTTACATAGCTGATGAAAAAGATGTTTTTCTTCTCTTGACTTCAGAAACCTTTGCTGTAGGCACAAAATGAGCATTAATCACTATTTTAGAGAAGTGAGAAGTCCGGAGATGTCCAACTTGCATTGGTTAATTTTTGAAGCTTGAATAGATGCATATATATATACACATACAAAACCAGCATTCTCTCTGTTTAATGAGGAAACAGTCCCAATTTGTTTTATTAGCTGTAGTTGTTATTAAAATACTAGATTGGGGTCTTGTCTTTTAAAGTAAGAACTGGACATGCAAATACATATTACAAATACTTACAGAATTGCAGTCCTACTTTTAGCCTTCTAATTTTAAGTCATGTCCCTTACTCCAAATGTTAACATAGTTCATGCATGATTCTCATTAATCCAAATAAAAAGTCTCACTGTAGACTGTGCATCTCAGTGCAATACAAAATGTATTAGCGTTTAGAGTGCATGAGGGTAGGATTGTGAAGCAAGATTAACAAATTAAATTTCATTGGACTTGATCAAATTTGACAGATAGGTCAGTCTTCCCAAGTCTTTTATGCTTCAGTACATCTGTACTGATAACCCACCCTCATAGCTATATAAATTAGGCATGCTAAATGATTAGCCTTATTTGACTAAAATAGCAAAAAGGGCTAATGTGATTGTCAATGAACATGACTTATCCATTAGCTAGAATGACTTGCACTCCAAACAGAGGCTTTCTCTAAAGAAAGCGCCCATATGTCAGATCTGTCTACTCATTCTTTATTTGAGCTGCATGACTTCGGCATTGCTTCCCTCTGAGGTTTGACCAAGTCATTACTTTCCCTTTTATTCAGCTTGTATCCATTTATTAAAATGTCTTTCTTTATAGGACAATAGATGTTGATTATTTTTTCTTTGCAATATATCCTAATGAATTAAAATAATTTTTATTTTACTTTGATATCAAACTGCTTCTCTCTCTCAACAGTCTGGAAATCCATTATTTCCTTTTGTGAATAATGACCATAACTGTAAGATCTAAAAACTCCTGTCACAATATTATAGTCTGCTGCAGCTCCAGAGTCTCCTGAAATTCACCAAGTAATCAGTGTAATTACTGAGTTTCCTTTTAACCAGAGTTCCTGCAATTACTGCTTACTGAAAAATTAGAAAGTTAAATTTGTAATCACATGGGTGTGTACTGATATTTCAGTATTAGTACTGAAAGATTAAAAACTACACATAATTAAAAAGGTTGTCATGAAGTTGTCCCAGAAATATACATGTTTAAATTCCCTTCTCTTGAGGTGGCAGAACACTTGTATTCAGGTCATTGCTTTGGCTGTGTGCTACAAACCAAACCACTTCCCACAACCTTGCTGAAAAAGGGGCCGTTAGAGGAAATTATACTTAAGAGATGAACAAG